ACCATAACCTATTGTAGCATGAATTCCAGTAGGCCTCTAAAAGTATGCTGTGGTATCTGGCACAGTCATCACCAGTAGATCCTTAAGTCCTGTAAGATTCGAGTTGGGACCTTCATTAATCAGATTTGCTTTTCCAGAACATCCCATACATGCACTATTGGATTGAAATCAGAATTTGGAGGTCAAATCAAAACCTCAACTCATTGTGTAACTCGAATAGTTTTTGAATGTATCAGACCAGGCCACCTTCTTCTGCTCTGGGGTCCAGTTCTGATGCTTGCATGCCCATTGTAGGCACTTTTGCCTGTGGACACTGCTCAGCATGGGCACCCTGACTGGTCTGTGGCTACACAGCCCCTTACACAACAAATTGTGATGCACTGTTTGTACACCTTTCTGTTGGATTGGACTACATAGGCCAATCTTTGCTCCCCACCTGCATCAGTGAGCTTTGGCCGCCCATGACACATTCGCCGGTTTTCCTTTTTGGCCCACTTTTGGTAGGTCCTGACCACTACAGACCAAGAAGAGCTGCAGTTTTGCATTTGCTCTGACCCAGTCTAGCCATTACAATTTGACACTTGCCAAAGTTATTCACATCCTTAACGCTTACGCCAATTATTTTCTGCTTTCAGCATATCAACTTCAGGGACATGTTCATTTGCTCCCTAATATATCGCACCCACATTTGGGTGCCATTGTCACAAGATAATCAATGTTATTTACTTTACATGTCAGTGGTCATAATGTTATGCATGATCGATGTATGTCCCAGTTTGGGAACACTGGCAAAGCGTGCATCCTAACTGTAGAAGATCAGAGTGTCTAGATTTCTTCAAATGTTAAAATGAAGCCTTTTTTTAAACTGTTAAAAACATGTATGTATATTGTGTGTGATTTATTACATACACACAGGGCATTTTGTAAACTCTACTCGTACAATTTTCTTTTCAGGTGTTGAACAGATACTCTTCTACACCTCTTATCCCTCTTCCAACACCACCCATCATTCCAGTACTACCTCAGCCATTTATCCCTCAAATCAATGTCAGAGACTGTATACGGCTGAGAGGTCTTCCTTATGCTGCCACAATAGAGGATATCTTGGAGTTTTTGGGTGAATTTTCTGCTGACATCAGGACCCATGGAGTTCACATGGTGCTGAACCACCAGGTAAAGTTTACTGTTTGATATATGCTAATTTCCTTTTAATCTATAATACAGATGCCTTCATGCAATGTTTACCCAGCTTTACTCAATTGTGTGCTATTATTACAACCCTTGTGTCTGAGCACTATTGGAGTCCAGGCCGCACAGCTGATTTGGGTCGTGCTGCCACTAATCTGGTTTGTCTATGGTGGGCTGACAAGTGCTGCGGATGTTTGCACATAATGACACATCTGTACTTAATAGTTTGTAACTGCTCGGTTATGTAGTGACATGTGAACACCTCCACAACATCATTGATTTGTACTGACTGATGGCCATAGCTAATTGCACACACTGGTGCATTCCCACTGCTAAGAACAGCTGATTCTTGGTGGCATGCAGCCCAAATGAGAGGGGAAATAGGGGCAAAGGTTGGATCTTCAATAGGGACAGACACAGCAACAGGACCCTACAAGAACATTTCCCTCATCTTGTTCCAATTATGGATGTCTGTTTTTTGTTAGGGCTTTTTTTTCCATTAAGGAGATTATTTCCTTGCTTTGTTCACTGAGACAAAGATTCTAACTCTTCCTCAAAATGTCCAAAACATGAACAAATGTTTTGGATGGAGTTGCACTTTAAAGTCTCCATGGAGAAGTTGAAAACTTATGATATGAGAGATTCTGCTAGTTGAGGTTTGGGACAATAGTCATAAAGACATACTTTCTAAAATGTCAGATCAATATTATGCCAAAGACCTGTTCCTAAAGACAAAAAATGGCTAGACCATGCTTTTACTATCTCATGTCATAGGCTGTTCTAGAAAGAGGCATGCCTTGCTTCTTCAGTCAGCAGAGTTCAAAGGCATTTCTTTAAAGATGTATATACAAAAATCTGATGTTGCACTTTTAGTGGTGTCCCCTTACTTCAGCAAGTCGTGGCATCTGTCACCTTTTATAAAGGTGGTTCCAATTTGTAAAAAGAAATAATTACTACTTTCCTGACATAGGTAGCACTGCCTGTACTACATGGGGAACTGCAATAGTCCTCTGAGCTCTCAAGGTGGACAAGTGCTCCAAGGAAGAAATGGTGTGGTAGTGTCTGCCAAGTGGAATAACCATTATACCATGTGCCTTTTGGCTTCTAAATGACTTATGAGCTTTAAGAAATTTCCTTGTGATTGAGAAGTTGTATGTCTGTATTGAAGTTACCTTTGGGAAACGGGTTAACTGGGACAAATATAGAACTATAAGTTTACAAACTTTTTTTTGTAGTTGCTGTCATTTTTTTATGGTCTGTATATGGATGGTAGGCAGGAATGCTGCAGCTGAGACAAAGCTGGAAGGCTGCTTTGCCACCTTTCCCAGTCTCATCAGAGTACAATAAAACAATGTGGGGCTATTGTCTGGAGCTGTCAATATACATATCCCTGTGGCTCTAAGCACAGGCACACAGCCTCTACTGTACAACTAAAGCAGACAGATTAACTTATCCAAGGTCACAAAGAAAAAAAACTTGCACTGGGCAACTCCCATTTATTCAATGACAAGAACTTTAATCATTATTTTAACATCCTGCCATAGTTAACACTTTGGTTCATGTTACATAGTGGTCATGAGGAGAGGGGGTGGTGGGTGTGTGAGGAAAAGGACTGCCTTTTTTAGCAGCTAAGGATTTACAGAAGTACAGCTGTGCATGGCAATTAAATTTCTTGTATTGCAAAAATATTTTTTCTTGGTTAGAATAGTTAAGGGTGAAAAACCGTGTCCCCTGCCTCAAAGGAGTGTCCTGCAAAGGGGATTTCCGCTCTTGGACAGTTGTCACCCGATAAGATGTTTCCTTCTGGAAGATTTACCCTCCCCTCTTTTTCTGTTGAAAGATTGCAAATGTAGGTTTTCTATGCCTTTGTCACAAATAAAGATGGTTAATCTCCTCAATGTAAACCACTTTGATAGAAATAAAAATTGTCAGGGGTTTAAATGTTTCTCCACACCATCCATAAAAAGAAAAAAAAAAGTTTTGAGGATACACAATTCAAATCCATGAAAAGTTTTTTCCTATTGGTCATTCAACTGTACCTTACTGGTTAAACCTGTTTGTGAACCATTCCTTTAAAAACCACATAAAAGCTCTTGTTGGTCCAAACCTCACCTTTTTTTCATAATACTCACCCCTATTAGATCAGATGAAGAGTAGCCCATCCCTAGAATTGGAGGCTTCTGACTGGTAGAATGCCAATAGCGGATACAGTTACTAAATCTTGGAAAGCATGTACTACATCGTTGGGCTTCAGATTATGTAATCGGGAAGAAAACTATCACATAATACCTTTCATGTGCTGAGGGATCTCTTGTAGTTTTCAGGCATGGTTGCTTTAAAAACAGCAGGGAGCCCAGGGCAATGTTACAATGCGTATGGAGAATCACGATGCTCGCTGTGCCCAACTGGGCAAATTTATTGGTTCATTGTTCAAAGGATATGTACGAATGTTCCACTAAACTGCTTTGTGATAGTGCTCATTAAAGCTAATATATCCGAAATCTGCTTCTAAAAGCAGAAAGCGCCTTCTAACTGCAGGAGGTGGTCTGATTCCCAGTTTCTGGAAAAATAGTTCCGGTTGGGAACCAGGGAACTACAGTGCTTAAACATAGTAAAAAGGCTAGACTAGTATTAGGACAGGTGGAAGTTACTGAACAAACATGGAAATGTCATTCTTTCATTAAAGAAAATAGCTTGATATGATATACAGTATATCCCAGGCAATTATTTTAGGAGGTAATCAGTAGCCATTTTTCAGTACAGGTACATTTTAAGAGAAATGGATCCTCTATTCAGCTGTCCACCTATGTACCAGGTGACAGGGATTGTAAGATTGTCTTGCTATTCCTGTATAAGCGTAGGACAAAGTTTAATTTAGTCTGATAAGTATGTATCTGAAAAGCTGGAGATTCCCTCCTTTTCCCATGTTGATCACAACCATTTCACCCAGACAGGAATTTTTGAGGAAATCCTTGCAGTAGGACCACAGACAATCAAAACCTGACAGAGGTTCTAGTTATTATTCAGTTGCCTGTATGTTTTGTTTACCTTCTATCTGTGTTTTCCCATTTTAAGCCAACTGAATGAGGTCTGTCAGTGTGTATACAATGCTCGTAAAATGCAACCATGCATCTAATGTTAACAAGCCCTTAAAGTATATTATAATTTTTTTTTTTTTTTGTGTGTTAGAAGTTCTCTCATGACTTCTGTTCTTAGCTGCATAGGAGGCTTACAGAGGTGGGATTGAGACAGCTGGAGGGGGTGTCACCAGGGAGGCAGAGAAACAACAGTACACTTATCTTCCCAATGCAGATCTGTGCAGGAGGTGTGTAAGCAGAAATCTCTTCTACTTGGTAGTACAGCCTCCTATATATGCCTATATGGTCAATGCATCAAACTGACCACAGTTAGATCGATGTGCTTACATGCCTAGTGTGGCCTGTTTGAGGAAGGACATCAGGGGACTGACAGGGTCACCATGTACTTCACACAAGGGAAGCAAGAAAAGAGGGTACTTTGTTTAATACATGTACATGGTAGCATAAACACATATCAGAAATATGAAATGTTGGGAGTAACAAACGTTAATAATGGATTACTAAGCCATCTAAAACTTTTACCTGCAGCTATTGACTTTTGTTTAGTCTGGAATCCTATTAACAGTTGTGTCCCCCCCCCCCCCCCCCCCCCCCCCTAAGGGCCGACCATCGGGAGACTCCTTCATTCAGATGAAGTCGGCAGAGCGGGCGTTCCTGGCAGCACAGAAGTGTCACAAGAAGACCATGAAGGACAGATATGTGGAGGTGTTTCAATGTTCTGCAGAGGAGATGAACTTTGTCTTAATGGGGGGAACTTTAAATCGCAATGGCTTGTCCCCGCCGCCATGTAAGTTACCATGTAAGTGTGGGCTTGAGGGTCTTGCCGCTTCTCTGCGCTTTGAGCTGGTAGGTGTTGGAACTGCTTTCCTTCCTGTGGGTATTTTGGGTCATCATTGGCCGTTTATCGTGTTTTTACTTTGTGAACATAAAAATCAACGATTGCAATTCTCTGGTGGTGAATGAGATTTCGGGAGCGCCGATGGGATGTCTATGGTATGTCTATGCTGCCCGTTTTAAAGGGGAACTAAAGCAAAAGTCAACAGAAATGCTATCCTTACCTGTGGAGATTGCATGCCAAGGTCATGGTTTTAACTTGGCACTGAAACACCTACTTGGTGTCTTACATAATGCCTGGAATGAGCTGATGCACAGTTGTTAACCCTGTTCACCCTGTCAGCCATTGTAGCCACCATTTCATAGTGATGCTTATTTGCTTCCTTTAATCAGTTGCAATACTGGTGTGCAGTAAACCCTTGGAACCTCTAAACTCTCAGCAGATACATTTTTAGCTGTGGGTCATACTCTCTGCATGTTGTGTGTTCTTTTTTTTTTTTTTTTTTTTTTTTTTTTTTTTTTTTTTTTTTTTTAAAGTAGATCTGTCATGTGAGAGTTGGATTGATTCAGTCGCTTACCTGGAAAAAGCATAGTGATAAGGCACTTTTTTTTTTTTTTTTTTTTTTTTTTTTTCTTGCATTCATTTAAAACATGATTGTTTAGGGGAGATTTCTCCTCATTCCCAATTTTAGACTATCAACAAGAAGTGAGAGGAATTCTCGTTGGGCATTTGTCACCAAAACAAGTGTCCTAATTGGAGGATTTTCTTTTATCTCTTCTGGTGACAACTTTAGAAATTTTAGATTTTTTCCATCTGTCTTGGTAACGGTAGTCACCAGAACAGAGTGACACAGTTGGACTTGTACATTAAGTGACTTAGGGGTTGAATTCTTAAAATTGGAGAGTGCAAAATCTGCATAGGAACCAATCAGCTTCCACGTTTTATTGTCAAAGCTTAACTGAGCAAGCTGAAGTTAGAAGCTGATTGGCTACCATGCACAGCTGCACCAAATTTTTGCACCCTGCTGTTTTAGTAAATCAACTCCTTTTATAGTCCCATGGCTGAACTTAAACACTGCAGTGCACTACTTTCATGTATTTACTACTGCAACCATTTGGACCCTTTTTTTTTTTTTTTTTTTTTTTTTTTTTTTTATTAGTTGGATTAAATTAATGCAGTGGTGTTGCAAATAATAACATAATCAGATTTCAGCTGTCCTTTTTTTGTACAGCTAACAGAGATCCTGATAGCGATGCAATAACATCACTTTATTTTTGCCCTACTGTTAAACATTCTGTTGGTCTACTTTGAAATGGCTGGTGTGTGGTTGACAGGTCCTGGAGAGCAGCTCTGCAACTCTCCAAGCAAGGCGACAACTAAGAAAGCAAAGGTTATTACCTCAAAACGGTTGTAGTGTAAGGTCATCAATATGAAGAAATGGCAAACAAATAAAACTTACTAACTGTGTACTGTTAGTTGGATGTTTTTGGGTTTAGTTCCCCTTTAAGTCACTTTAGTAGACTAGAAGCTATTTGCCCAAAGCAAAGTGTGAAACTGCATTCTTGATTCTTGCACTCTCAATGGATCTTGATGGAAGCATATACAGCCCTGCACAAATATATACATTCGTTTGCGTTGCACCTTTTTAAATATTTTCTATGCTTTAACCAGATTCCATGCAAATCCACCTTCTAATGGCACTTATCTAAATTGAGCATCATACATTAATTCTTTATTGCAGTGTTTGCTTGCCTACCTGCATTGCGTAGAATTTCCAAGTGTTGAACTCTAGAATAGAAACTTTAGCGTTGATTCTTACATTGTGAACATTGCATCAGCATAAACTCTAACATTGTGAAGAAGGTGGTGGTGGTAGTCACAAAAGCACAAATATAATTACATTTTGGCTTTTTTCAAAATCTTGAATTTAGCTGTTCATTCGCAGTTTATGAATACACTCCCTCCTTGTATAAACCTAAGAGCTAGAGAAGAAAACCATGTAGAGGTTGCGGATGAGACCCATGACCATATAAAATCTGGCACAAGATAAATGGCTTTATATGGTTTATAGAACCTTGAGTAGACTTCTCCCCCCATTAGGTTTTACACCTCTATTACACCAATTAGGATAGAAACAATGTAAATGATTGCATAAGGCTATCCTATTGTGCTGTCAGTGGATGTACTACCACAACTACTACTGATATGATGTCCATTGACAAAGATGACCATGCAGGTTCATTCCCTAAAATACTAGCTTCAGGTTTGGGGAAAATGGACTTGGACCAAATTCTCCTATTAGTGAATCTAGGAGCAGTTGCTGGTCTTTCACCTTGCACATTGAGGAAAGTTATAAACTTCCCCAGCAGCAAATGGAAAGTGTGAATTGAAGTGAGGAACTAAGACTCAGATGTGCAACAGGGTAAGCATGGCAAATTCAGATTGTCTGGTGTTTGTAATGTTGTCTAAATTATAAAGATGCATAAGGGGGCCAAAATGGAAACGCTCAATTGATCACAACAATGAAAAGGAAACAAAATTGTGTATCAATATATGTAAAAAGTCAAACCTTTTTATAAATCACATTTTGCCTTATCCGTAAAGCAGATAAACTCTTAAAGCCCAACTTCAGGCAAAAATAGTGCATTGTGCATCAATTACCTTACTGCTCAGTCTTGATTCCAAACCACTATCCCCAAGCCCTCCTGCAGTAAAATGGATCAGTCAGTTTCCTCTATGAGCAAAGCTAATATCGTTCCCTGGGGAGTAGGCATTTTTCTCTGCTCATGATCTTGGATATTCATTCCCACACTGCCCGCATGAGTGCTCCTGCCTCTGGAACCTATGAGAGGACCCGGTTTCTGCAAATGTCACCTCCACCAAGCAGGCAGTAATATGGACACCTGAAGAGAGACCCAGGAATAACTAGGAGGGAAGTATTTTCACATGACCGTGGAATTTGGGTATGTATATTTTGTGTGGGTGTTTTTTTTTTTTTTTTTTTGCTTTTTCTTTCATACCAGTATTTAGTTGAGAGAAGTGGGGGGGGGGGGGGGGGGCAGGAGTGGGTAAAGGAGGTTGCTAATATACCGGAGTTTGGATAGTTAAATTGTGGCTTGTTTCATAAGTGGCCAGGTATAGATTTTAAAGCCAAACACTGTCCTATCAGAAAGTCACAGCTCAACAATTTAAATTTTTGCCATTTTTGTTGAATTAATGACCTCTTTTTTCAAAATGAGGTCAAGAAAATCTCAATTAAAGAAGGTTGCATCCATATAGATCAAATCAGTGTGATCAAGGTTAAACATAATGTTGGGCATAAGTCAATACAATAAAACGACAGGCAATCTCAGAATGTCCTCATCCTTTAATGTCCACCAAATAGATGCATAATAAAGGTCTAATAGTAAAGTACACAATGTGTAACAACCCTTATATGCACTATGAGGACAGCAAACTATCAGCATACATTATTGAAAGTATAGCTGATTTCACTACTATTTGGTACGTCAATCTCAGGTTGCAAAAACACTGGATTGAATGCTATTCTGTGAGTTGTAGAAATTCTCTGAACAGCATTGAGCTATAAGCTTTATAGGGACACCTGTTAAATTCATGGGATCGAAAGGTCATAAACAGAAGAATGTTTCACTGGTCTAATCTCACAAATTAGCTCAGTTGTGGATTCAAATAAAAGCCACTCCTAACACATATCACCATGTACATCCATGGGTAGAGTAACCAATCTGAAGGCAGTTAAACTAAGATGTTGTGATAGATGAAGCTCTGCCTGGTATGGCTGTCCCATGTGCTGCCAGGGACTATGCATCAAATATACAATGTGGAAAGAGTGACTTTCTGAGCTGGAGAACAGTGTCTCAAATTATAAATATGGAGGATGTTACCAAGATATGATTTTATTTATTAAGAATGATTCAAATTCTGTAGCAAATGTGGCTTGGCTCAGTTAATGTATAGGTGGCAAAAGTTTTGAGCTATGGGTTTCATATGCACTTTTACATATCGGTTTACCAGTCATTTACCAAACTTTTTTTGCCCCTCACCTCTTGTTTTGGTGACCGCTCTAAAATGTTGGCGTTTTCTCCCACTTTGTTGTGACAAGGACAAAGAGGGGACACAGACCAAAATAAAAACTTGGAAAAGGGTCTAATCCTTCCCTACTCTATCCACACTTTTTTTTTTTTAAGCCCTTTACATACTCTGTAAATATGGTAACTCTGCCCTTAAGGTTTACTTTGGTCATTTTAATAATAGAATATTCCATTTTCATAAACAATTGGAATATCTGCACTTCTAATGCAATACGCTAACTTTAAAATACAGAAGATGGCTAACCAGGAAATCCAGAACTCTTTAGCTGCCCACTAGGTACATTGTGAGTTTATTTCTGATAGGTCAGAGGATTGGCAAGTGGTCAGGCAACCAGCATTTTCAGAAGGTCAACAGTAGTATTACTTTCCTATTAGTGTTTGGACTGCTGTGATTGTTTTGTTTTTCCACCTTTTTTTTTTTTTTTTTTTTTTTTTTTCCTATTCTTGATGAACCTACAGAACTCTTTGCCCAGTTGTAGAGTAACTACAGTGTTGGTAGGTCTTCCTGAAGGAGGCATCCTTGGGAGACTACGGCAGTTGGCCAGATTGAATTTTTCCTGGTGATTACTATAGCTTTTCTTTTAGATAAGATTTATTTTTTATTACAGGTACTTGTATAGCGCCCTCAATTAACGTATCTTTACGTATATTGTACATTCACATCAGTCCCTAACCCTCAAGGGGCGTACAATCTAAAGTCCCTAACTTATTCATGCACATACTTGGGCCAATTTAGAAAGGATCCAGTTAAACTACCAGAATGTCTTTGGAGTGTTGGAGTACCTGGAGGAAACCCACGCAGGCACAGGGAGAACATGCAAACTCCAGGCAGGTGGTGCCGTGGTTCGGATTTGAAGCAACGACCTTAGTACTTCCAGGTGGAAGTGCTAACCATTTAGCCACTGTGCTGCTCTGGGTACTCATGCTTCTTTGATCTACAGGCCAACTATGTATGTTCAAGTGTCAACATTCATATTTAAAGAACACATTCTTTTTGTACAAAAGATTGTTCAGGGGATAGATTACGCATGAATGGCTGGTTACTCTGACGTCCCTATGCTCCTATTGGAAGACTGTTCAGCTTGAGTCTTGCAATGGATAGCTTTAAAACTGGCCATAGATAAGTCAGTTTTTTCCATTCAACCAGTGGGGTCAAGAAAAAAAAACTGACCTGATTCTGTACAACCACAGTGCCCATACATGGATCAAAATTCAGCAAAGACTGGCCTAATTTCAATCCATCTGTGGGCAGCTTTATTCTAGTATCATTTGGCTAAGGGATTCACTAGGGTTAAAACAAATGCTTTTGATAGCTGAAAGCTGTTTGTTAAGATAATTACATTTTCAACCAGAACTCCAGTCTTATCTACACTCTTGCACAGCTGTTAGGGCTCCTGTCCAATGCTGAAATTGTGTGCTTCCCAAAGGTGTTCGACTGGAAAATAAGGTGGGCTCTACCCAACTTGCTGAAGCTCCTAATGGAGGACAGCCAGTATCTAGCGCTCAGTATCTAGCGCTATCTACCACAGCTCTATTGTTTCTGACCCACTCCTTTTTATTTGTTGAATTAAAATGTTTTCATTTATGGAGACTCAACATCCTATATTACTAGGGTTGTCTGCATGCAAATGCAGTCTGCTTGGTAATGCCCAATCCTTGTGACTGACCATCCACTCATCAAGGCATTTTGATGTTTGCATAATTCCCCTCAAGAACCAGTCCTCTGCATCAGGGCTTGAGAGGAGTACTGATGCAGGTTGCTGTGATGAGATTTAGTAAAACAAAAATGACTGGTTAAACCTACAAGTACAATTTTTAATCACTGCTTTCTTATATATTGCCTTGTGAAAATCGCAAATGCAATAATTTAGAGGTTGGATTAAATGATTCGTGTAGAGAACTTTTCTGATGGTTAGACATTTTTCCATAGGTCTATTCACAGACCTCTGCTGGAGGTGAATGCCACCCACTTGTGCCTGCCATCATGAGGGAAATCACGCTTAGGGAAATCACCTCAATGTTAGACCAAAAAGGAAATGGGGACAAAGATTTTGGTTTGAAAAGAGGAATAGTACTTCCAGAAGAGGAACAGTTGGGAGCTATACTCTGTGACTCGCTGTGTGCCGATACATGGCCAAGTCAACCCATTGTCTGATACTTGTCATCCCTTTTTGTCTTCTGCTCCCTATGGCTCTATCCTTGCAGAGTATTTTTAAACTAGAGCATCTGTTTTAACATATCCTTGTATATAAAGCTAACTTTTTAGAATTTGATTACCTTCAGTCATAGATGTTAGGGATCAGCTTTATACATGCTCTAGAGTGAGCAAAAGCTGTGGGTCTTATGCTTTTATACTGTTTTTATGAGCATGTGGAAAAATGGGGATCATTATAGCTCCTTCTGATCAAATATGGAGAACTAATGACCTGCATCCAGTTAATAATAAGTTTTCACTTTTTCAAGAGAGACCTAAACCCAGATAAAACATCCTCACACAGGGCTAATATTCTGCTCTGTCTAAAAGGAAGACCAGCTAGATGTGCTCCACCCGTGCCCCTCCTCTTGCTGTGTTGTTAAATTGGGATTCCTCTGACAATTGGGTTGATGAGCCTTGAGTGCAAAAACCCATAGAAGTAAAACCCTGTTTGCATCAGGCATATACTGCCTATGCAATTTTACATCATACAGTGTCAGTACCAATTTAAATGTACCTGTACCATACTAAAATTTAGTACATGGTTATCAGACTGTAAGAGTTCATGTTGACGAGCGTTTTGTCGAGTGCTGCATTTGCAAGTTTAAATGCATGCATTTGAATGGAAAACGTAACGCTTGACAAGAGTCTGCATTTGCCCTGCTTTGCCTGCTGTGCTGACCTGCTTTGCCTTTGCTATGCAACGTGAAGCAGCCTCTGAACTGCCATGTGTACTTTAAAGTCAGTGGGATTTTGGTGATCTGCATTTGGCTTGTGCTCCAAATGCCTGTTTGAACCCTAAAGCGGGCACCAAATTTCCAGTTTCTTTCAGAGCACCACAAACTGTTATGTAATTACATAAATAGTAGCCTGGTCAGATACAAATATGGTACTGACCTACCTTATTACTTGCAAACTCCAGGGCTGTTATCCTTAGTCTTACTTTACTACTTGCCAAGTCCCCAACCTGGAACAAGCATTCAGCAATGAAGTGTTGACACCTAATATTAAAATGCTTGTTCCAGGCCAGTGACTGACTGGTCCCTGGAGATTGTACTTTCAAAACAAGTCAATGGGTCGTTAACAGCAGTTAATCTGATAATCTCTTGCTGACCTCCCCTGGCCCATTGAACATTTCAGAGGTGCTTAATATTATGATTGGGGATCATTGGGTATCTGTATCATAGCCTACACACCTAACTTTAGCTAGAAAAAGTGTTTGGATTCTACAAATTTTTGCTTGATCTCAATCATTTTGTCTCATTCTCTTATTAATGGCTTCAGTGCAGCTATAAATATTTTAATATACAGGATTTATATAGCACCAACAGTTTGCGCAGCTCTTTACAAAATGAAGGTAGACATTACAGTTACAATACAATTTGGTACAAGAGGAAACAGAGGGCCCAGCTTGTAGAGCTTACAATCTAGGAGATATAATCATGTTTATTAAAAGGTATGCGGTGGCACTCTGTTATAGGGAATCCCTAATGGTGTAGCTCTTCACATCTACATCCAGCATGTAAAACCAAATTTAAAATTTAATTTTAGTTGATAATTATTTTTGTTCGATAAAAAACAAATGCAACATTCTTTTTAATCAATCTGAGCAAGCTGTGTTTTTATTGTTGGTGCCAATTTCTACATTGGTCCAGAACCACGGTTTTACAAAAGTTCAGATTATAAAGAGAAAGTCCTACCCTCTGTCATTTCATCTGTTTGTTTTTCGCTAGGTCTGTCCCCTCCATCATACACGTTCCCTGCACCGGCAGCTGTAATTCCTGCTGAGGCCGCCACCCTGTACCAGCCCTCCCTGCTCCTGAATCCTCGGGCCCTAGCACCAACAGCTGCATATTACCCAGCCGGAGCTCAGCTCTTCATGAACTACACTGCTTACTACCCAAGGTAAGCTTTTTCAGAAGATATGGTTTTCTTTTACCTATACCTGCTTTTAGTATAATTTTGTAATAAGTACTGTATGTATTAATAATTCATGTTTACCATCAGTAATCAGTGGGTGGTCATCCTCAGACTTAAAGAAGATATTGGTTTATTCATAAAACACTTCTGCTTCACTGAACAGACAATTCATAGAACCCTCCTTTTGACCATATGGATGCTTAGGGTGCCAACTGATAGATTAGGGAAAGGTGTTGGACTTCCATTGGGTTACTGCACTTTGGACGGTCTTTCTTTCAAAGCAGCCCATCTTTTATACAATTTTTTTTCCTTCCTCCATGGGGAGATGTGATCCACCTATGACCAGCTTAATTAGCCTTAGGTGAAAATCATTGGTTGTCCCCTTGTTTGAACGCACTTATCTTAGTCCTAATTACCCTATAAAAGTTTGAGAAGATTTGGTCTGGCTGACGGACGTGCAGTCTGCTGACTAGCCTCCAATAATGCTCTACCTTTTCCTCCTCCTGCTACCCCCCCCCCCCCCCCCCCCAAGGGAAACTCCATGGCCAATACGAACATTCTTGTATGGGACAATGATTAGGAATGGTGGAATGGACTTGGACTCCATAGGAAATGGGAGCCCTTAAAGTAACCCTGTCATGGCACAGTAAAGCCTAGAAAATGCCCCTGAAAATGAAAAGGTATAATACTTGTCTGCCTGTGCCTGATGTCTTTGCTCTGTTGTGTGCTGTCATTGCATCTGCTGCCTTTGAATTCCTTACAAGACTCAGGAGTGATGAAGGGGCCTCCAGGTGGAACCACAGTACACAGCAGAGGACCAGGCTGTCTACACATCTGCAAGTAGTCTGAAGATTCTTTGCTAGATGTAACTCTAAATAAAATAGAACCAGGTTAAGAGGTAGAAAGGCAAGCATGTTTATTTTGCAGGGACAGAAAAGGTCCCTCGGGCTAACAAAAGTAGCTGAGTTTTCTGCTGTAAGACATTTTCATTTTGAAAATGTTAATGTTCCCAGCAGGTTTCCTTCAATGCTATTGGCGTTTGGAAAAGCATTTGTTTTTGGTGGCATTTTTTTTCTGTACATACAATATTTAACCTTATACTCTGTGTTAATACCACAATATATTGTGTCTCCGTGAACTTCCCACTTCTACCGAAAACATAAGTACCATACGTAGCTCAACACACATTGATGGCAAATGTCAGTGTAATATTTTTGAGTGATACGCTGACAACTGTCAGCAAAACCATTTTGTAATAAAGTATCCAAAAATTTACAGAGAAGCTGTCTTCCTGCTATAACGATTTATCCACCAAAAGTCACTGGGGAGGTATTTATACTTTAAGTAGGGCAAGTTATAGTTACAAACCCCTTCACAGAATCTAGGTAAAGTACCGTCAGAACACTTCTATACAAGTACCATATAGTTTGCAGGAGGACTACCCATAAACAAAATACAAGATTAAAGCCACTATGCTTGCTATTTTATGATTAACATAAGTATTAAAGCAGTGTTTAAAAGCTGTTGTAATCTGAAGGTCCCCAATAATTATAAAAGCCCATTTACAGAAGGTATGACTGTACTGAGCAGCCTAGAACCTAAAGCTGAACTTCATAAATTCAAGCAAATGTAAAATGTGCCGGCATGCAATGAGTTAAGTCCAGCAACATGCATGCCATCTTGTGAACTTCTTTAATTTACATCTGACAGTTTTATGGAGCTCCTGGAGTACAGCTATTGCTATACTCCTGGGGCTTTGACAGGAGGAACGTAGTGTTCTCACATACAGCATTTTTGTCCACCCCTCCCCTCTACTGTTCAATTACAGAAACCTTTGCTTCTCTGAGTTCACCTGATAAAAGACGCTCTGTAACTGGGTAGGAGGTAGGGAAGGGGAAGTTCCGCTTGTCTGCCTCCTCCCCTCCCCCTCTCCATTTAAATTTTGGCACTTGTGTTTTAGGCACTTGAGGGGGGGGGGGGGGGGAGGAGGGGTGGATGGGTACCTGGTTTTGACAGGTCCGGTTGTATTGCTGCAGCGGTCAGAGTGGAAAAGCGCAGCTTGCACATGTGCAATGGGAAACTGGCTGTGAAGCTGCAAGCAGTCACAGCTGGCATCCCAAAGTAAACATGCTGGTGCCTGGACCCGAAGACGGCTGAAGACGGCGCTGGATCCCTAAACAGGTAAGCGTCCTATTACAAGTAACTTTTTTAATTTCTAGGCTGATTGGTTTTAAAGAGAAGTCCGTGAGGGGGCATGCACTGCGTTTAACTTTAAACCATATTAATACAGCTCATTTTACAAAGTTGAGTTCCTAGAGTTCAGTTTTAATAAAATGTCACATTGTGACAATTCAATAAAATGTGCATTTAAAAATGAAACCATGTGATGTACCAGGATCAGCACCGGTCATTCTACTGCACACTAATGGCTGCATTATGATACAGCTGCTGGTATGAACAGGCCTGAAAGAATTCATCTTTTGGTGAATATTAAAATCCATAGCATAGCTGCTTCAAAGTAAACACCATTCCCTCTACCATTCATTTAGTCCAGGTTATAAACATGAAAATATTTATGTATTCTGGACTACAAAAGTATTTAGCCTTGACGTGGTTTCCTAGATGAGCCCCTATCCCTCAAGGGAACAGGTGTACTGATGCATCTTATATTGTGCATTATCCTTGTAAGTCTTAACTTGACCAGACTGTTCACAAAGAAACTCCGTACCTTCAATTTCTGTTTAAAGTCAGTGTGGATGACCTCATTGCAATACATCATTTTTTTTGCTTACTATTACTGCTGCATCATTACTGGGGAGTCTGCTCTGGAATCCATAAATATGACATTTATGGAGTCTGCCTAGAATTAAAGTGGTGCTAAACCTTCCCCCCCCCCCCCCCCCCTTTTTTTTTTAATTTTTTTTTTTTCCCCTTGCCTGATCTGATCCAGTGATGTGCACAAGATCGGCTCTTGCCGCTGCCTCACTCATTGGGTAGATTGATGGCAGCGGGAGCCATTGCCTCCTGCTGCTGTAAATCAAATGCTGTGACACAGGAGTGGGGGGCGGGGCCAAGACGCCAGCTTGGAGTCGATGGCCGCAGACAGGGCTGCTTGGAAGCCAGCTCGCACATGCGCCCCCATGGAAAGTGGCTTTATGTTGGGGCACCTGCTGAAGAGGAGGGGCCAGGAGTGCCGACGGGACCGCAGAAGAGGAGGACTGGGAAAAGCATTGCACAAAGCAGGTAGTATATAACATGTTTGTTATTTTAATAAAAAAAAATGAAGATTTAATATCACGTTAAGGTTTTGCTGGTCACATGTTTTTCATCCTTGCAAGTGATATATAGATATATTTTATTTCAGAAATCCTGTTCAATATCCAGTCTCATTTGCAAGTTACAGCTTCCAAATGTACCTCATTTGGAACCAAATCTCTGTCTTCTAACTCTGTTGTCCGTCTTTGAATACTGATGTTTAGACCTTTGCCTTTTATAACTTTTTCTAAAGTGTGCCCCCTGCCCCTTTTTCCCCTCTAAGAAAGTTGGAAGTATAGTAAGTTACTGATTTTTTTTTTTTTTTTTTTTTTTTTTTTTTCCCCTACATACACTTTTACAAATGAGCCCCTTTTTTGTGTCGTACCGGGCTAATTTTAACTGCTTTGCTGAAAAATGCAACAAAAGATAGCATAGTTGGGTACTTCTTGATGATCATATCCTGTTAGCAGAGCAAAATGTTCTATTTAATGTGCATATTCTTCTAGAGCATTCATTCTCCTTTTCTCTGGGTGTTTTATAATGGATTGTAAAGGTGATATCTGCAGTTGACATATTACCGATGCTCTTTACACTGCTTTACTAACAAAATAAAAATTGCAGCAATGATCTTGATTTATTCAATCTATCCATAAAGCCTGAGAGATGTAAAATTAGGACATTTAGAACACCTCTATCTGCTCTCTTCCCACACAGTCCTCCAGGTTCTCCAAGTAATCTTGGCTTCTTCCCAGCCACAGCAAGTGCCAGCAGCATCCCTCCGCACAGTGGAGCCACAGTCGTGCGCATGCAGGGTCTGGCGTACAACTCTGGTATGAAAGAGATCCTGAATTTCTTCCAAGGTTATCAGGTAGGTCACCTTCAGTCTGTTTTTGTGGTGGTAAGCCTGCTAGGACGTGGCCACCTTTCATGTTCTTCTCTCTAGAAGATGGCGTTGGCAAAATGGTGTTACAACAGAAAGAAAAGAAAGCAAAATAAGGCCTCGTTTTCATGGGGCATACTACATTGCAAAGGCTGTGTTTACCAGACAGTCCCATTTATATCAGTTGGGACCAGGGGCGGACTGACAACTCATGGGGCCCCCAGGCAATAGGGGATCATGGGGCCCCTGTGTCCTCGCCCAAATCTATGAAAAAGGTACCAGGGGCATCTCATGGGGGGCCCCCCACTGACCCCGCGCCCTCGGGCAGTGCCCGAGTTTCCAAATGGTCAGTCCACCCTGGTTGGGACACAGCAGCAGATTGGACACTAGTCTTTGACAGCCGTGTGGTTGCATGTCCTGGAATGCAGACAGTGTGAGTTTGGCGATGCACAACCCTACTGATCTCAAATTGAGAGCAGTGGATGTATCCATGGGACTGCCTGCACAGGGGCCTCATACAAATGGTACACTGTAGTACAAATATGAACAAAAATATAAACAATATATTTCTGGTGCTTAGTCAAAACCCCCACATCTCCCACGCAATCGGTGTCATGTATTAAATATATGTGCAAATATATAAAGAAAAATGTTTCAATATGTCCTCTGTGAAGTGTTCAGAAAAAAATTTAAAAGCTCACCAGACTAGACTCTCATTGATAAATGGGTCAAGTTAGGGCTGTGGAACTATATAAATGGCCACCAGGTGTTACTTTTCCTCTTCTCCACATCTGCATCCAATGTCCTTTTTATTTCTGGTTTCCTTATGTTAGTAAATGAAAGCAAAGAAAAACAATTAGTGTATTATTTCAAAACCGATAAATAACAAATGCAGTTGTGCTCACAAATAAATATAAAAGTGCAACTTTTAAATCAATCAAAAATGCACCCAATTTTCCTATTCCAACCACCAATGTGCTATACTCGCATGCATTGGAATCTCACCGGATAGAGGGACCCATAACCACACTGGTTTCAAAATGTGACAGCTGGTGCAGGGAGAAGAGCCTCTCCTCTGTGCCACCCTTAGTAAAGAGGAGGGCATCTAAGAACATGTTACACCCTGAATACGTTCATATCCTCTAATCTGGTACACATACATAGGGTTTTGTTTTTTTTTTCTCCAATTCAGCCCTCTGGGTGCAGGTTTCTGCACCCACACAAGTAAGATGGATGAAGGAAATCCCACCCCTGCGAAGACATTGTAATGTTCAATACACTGATCAGCGCTGCAGCCAACTGGCTGCAAGCTGATGATCGAACAAGGTATTTCCAGCAGTCCCATTTTGGCAGAAAGCAGCTTTTGCAGCAGTCCCATTTCGGCAGAAGCTGGTTTTACAGATCTGCTTCTGTCTAACTGGGAGGGCTACACACAAATTGAAATTCATCCAGTCCCTTACGAACTACATACATTTTAATCAGTTTACTCTGCTTTCCCTTCACATTGGTGCATTTAGGATTTTTGCTGCCCTAGGCAGCACAAAAAAAAATATCCCACCGACAGCCAGAGTTGTCTATATCACTCACCGGCTCCCCTCACTCTTCCACCTACTGTGCAGCCCCAGATCCCCTCGGAGCCTCCTCATTCACAGTGCCATCTGGTCACCGGCACGATGTCACCACACAGGAGCTGGAAGCAGAGCACAGGGTGTGCAGGACAACCAGTGTCCCCTCCTTCCAAGGGGGGAGGCACGGCCCCCCTGAAAAATGCTGCCCAAGGCAAGCGCTTTGTTTGCCTCGCTGGAAATATGCCCCTGCTTATTCCTTGCTTCAGCAGGCTCCCTCCTAGCACTGACAGGTCCCCCACAGCTTCTGTGAAAGATGTGGTTGGCTGTGGTCACACTCCAGCCTCCTCATACCATACAGGGTAATGTCCATGAGATGATGCCGAGGCTTTGGGCAGAGGAGGAGAGTGCTGGAGTTGGGACAGAACAAGGAAAAAGAAAAATTTAAAGCAGATTTCCTGCCTGCACTGCAAGGGTGGACTTTGTGTGGCTTTATTTATTTTTTTCATTATTTTGGTGTTGGGCTGTATTATGGCAACACATCCCTTGCTGTTTTGCTCATGTTTTTTTTTTTTTTTTTTTTCAGGTTGGGTTAGGAATTATTGGGACTTTTCAGGTGCTACATAGATGTATATCACATACACAAAACAATATGATGTAGAATACATCTTTATAGCACCTGAAAAGTCCCAGTAATTCCTATTCAAGAATTTTATTTTCTCTTTTAATAGACCTGCATTGCAAGGAGCAGGGCAGGTTTAGAGCATGCCACGGGTACAGTCTGGAAGGCAGAGCGGTCAGGACTAATAGGTGGAGAAGAGACAGTCTGACATCTTCATTCTGGCCCTGAAGAGCTCTGGGGTCTGCTAGGTGGGAAGTCGTGATTGGAGCTTCAGTTCTGTTCTTGCTTTGTCCACCCATACTGCTGCCAGGACTGTGACAGCATCAAACCAGAGTGACGGGAACCTGATACCAGGAGAAAGCAATTTTCTTCCTTCTGGAAAGGGTGGTGCTGCTGCTGCAGAGAGGAGGCAGGCTGTAGTGGCAGCAGAGGTTGGGGCATGAGTGATGTGACAGACGGATTATTGGTGGACAGATTCTTCTGCATGCTCAGAGCTCTGCACCCCTCCCACACTGTGCCTGGGGCACCTGCCCCCCTGCCCGTGTCTTGGACCACAATGAAGGCAGGGAGTAGTTGTTAGATGAACATGATGGATCTTCTGGCATCACAGCCAATATTTGCTTGATTAGACTACTAGAACATCAATCTCTCAACTGATTGTTTGTGTTCCCTTCACTTGATCTTAGTACTCTCCAGAAGAGGCTCTCCTCCCAATAAGTGACCAAGCCCGGACACTGATCACCCACCCTAAGGAATGGGTGTGCATATAGTTCTTCCTGATTATGTGGAGGAGGTATGTACATGTTATCTTTCTCTGTCTCAGCACCTCCGTTGCATTTCTGTATTGTAACTATACTTTTATAACCTATTCAAACATTTTGGGGTGGATTTTCTAAAAATAGAATGGTAGAATCTGGTGCAGCTGTGCATGGTAGCCAATCCGCACCTAACTCCAGCTTGTTCAGTTAAGGTTTGACAATGGAAGCTGATTGGTGCAGCTCTGCACTAGATTTTTGCACCATGCAGTTTTATTTAGGCTACTTTCACACTGATCCCAAGCAAAAACACATACAGTCAGGTCCATAAATATTGGGACATCGACACAATTCTAACATTTTTGGCTCTATACACCACCACAATGGATTTGAAATGAAACAAACAAGATGTGCTTTAACTGCAGACTGTCAGCTTTAATTTGAGGGTATTTGCATCCAAATCAGGTGAACGGTGTAGGAATTACAACAGTTTGCATATGTGCCTCCCACTTATTAAGGGACCAAAAGTAATGGGACAATTGGCTTCTCAGCCGTTCCATGGCCTGGTGTGTGTTATTCCCTCATTATCCCAATTACAATGAGCAGATAAAAGGTCCAGAGTTCATTTCAAGTGTGCTATTTGCATTTGGAATCTGCTGTCAACTCTCAAGATGAGATCCAAAGACCTGTCACTATCAGTGAAGCAAGCCATCATTAGGCTGAAAAAACAAAACAAACCCATCAGAGAGATGGCAAAAACATTAGGCGTGGCCAAAACAACTGTTTGGAACATCCTTAAAAAGAAGGAACGCACCAGTGAGCTCAGCAACACCAAAAGACCCGGAAGACCACGGAAAACAACTGTGGTGGATGACCGAAGAATTCTTTCCCTGGTGAAGAAAACACCCTTCACAACAGTTGGCCAGATCAAGAACACTCTCCAGGAGGTAGGTGTATGTGTGTCAAAGTCAACAATCAAGAGAAGACTTCACCAGAGTGAATACAGAAGGTTCACCACAAGATGTAAACCATTGGTGAGCCTCAAAAACAGGAAGGCCAGATTAGAGTTTGCCAAACGACATCTAAAAAAGCCTTCACAGTTCTGGAACAACATCCTATGGACAGATGAGACCAAGATCAACTTGTACCAGAGTGATGGGAAGAGAAGAGTATGGAGAAGGAAAGGAACTGCTCATGATCCTAAGCATACCACCTCATCAGTGAAGCATGGTGGTGGTAGTTTCATGGCGTGGGCATGTATGGCTGCCAATGGAACTGGTCCTCTTGTATTTATTGATGATGTGACTGCTGACAAAAGCAGCAAAATGAATTCTGAAGTGTTTCAGGCAATATTATCTGCTCATATTCAGCCAAATGCTTCAGAACTCATTGGACGCCGCTTCACAGTGCAGATGGACAATGACCCAAAGCATACTGCAAAAGCAACCAAAGAGTTTTTTAAGGGAAAGAAGTGGAATGTTATGCAATGGCCAAGTCAATCACCTGACCTGAATCCGATTGAGCATGCATTTCACTTGCTGAAGACAAAACTGAAGGGAAAATGCCCCAAGAACAAGCAGGAACTGAAGAGAGTTACAGTAGAGGCCTGGCAGAGCATCACCAGGGATGAAACCCAGCGTCTGGTGATGTCTATGCGTTCCAGACTTCAGGCTGTAATTGACTGCAAAGGATTTGCAACCAAGTATTAAAAAGTGAAAGTTTGATTTAGGATTATTATTCTGTCCCATTACTTTTGGTTCCTTAATAAGTGAGAGGCACATATGCAAACTGTTGTAATTCCTACACCGTTCACCTGATTTGGATGCAAATACCCTCAAATTAAAGCTGACAGTCTGCAGTTAAAGCACATCTTGTTTGTTTCATTTCAAATCCATTGTGGTGGTGTATAGAGCCAAAAATGTTAGAATTGTGTCGATGTCCCAATATTTATGGACCTGACTGTATGTATTT